TTGTTACTTTTACTTGAGTAAAGAAGTTTAATCAGTACTTCCACTTTTACCAGAGTATTTTTTAACACAAGTATCTGTACTTTTACTCAAGTACTGAAAGTGAGTACTTTTGCCATCTCTGCTGAGGATGGTAGAGAAGGAAGAAATTCACTGGACATTTCTTATATTTGAAATTTTAGCTTGGAGTTTTGACTTGAGATGTTGATTAAAAAAGGAAATGAAAAGGTTGAGAGATGTTTCAAGCGACACAGGAGGTGATCTGTTTACTGTCCCTCCTCTTTCAACTATGTCCACTTAAATCTCACTAGACCCTCTGGTGCACTTGTGACTACACTGGCAGAGACTCGGCTCTAATTGCATCAGTACTTGACACTGTTTGTCTCCCTGGAGGGTTTTTTTTAGACTGTAAGATATCAAGGAACAAACCCATCCACACAAAATCACACCTTTCATACTATTACTAAGTAATAAATAACTTATAATTCATACAAAATGCGTACCTTTTCCATTCACATGTTTACATATGGTAGTTTTGGGCATGAATGTATGATTTTTCGTGCAAGGGAAAAACTTTTTTTTTTTTTTTATTGGCTGGCAATACAGGAAACAACGTGTTGTATTTTAACAAGAGTCCAAACTATACCTACAGCTTGAAATGACTGGTGTCATATTACCATATTTTCCAGACTATAGAGCACACCTCTCTATAAGCCGCACCCACAACATTTTTTTTGAAAAACTCGAAACATACATATATTAGCCGCACCGGGCTGAACTGTCTCCCACCAAACCTGTAGGGGGAGCTCTACATGTAGCCCCTGGATTAGGGACGAAGAAGAATACTAGCTCCCTTTAGCTTGTTGGCAGTGTTGCCAACTCAGCGACTTTGTCGCTATATTTAGCGACTTTTCAGACCCCTGCAGCGACTCTTTTTCAAAAAAGCGACTAGCGACAAATCTAGCGACTTTCCTGGTGTCTGCTTTGGTGCACCTCCCCGTCCGAACCCCGTTCTCCCGCTTCCGCAGCACTCCCTCTCAGCGCTGCAGTCAGAGCCACAGCATGTTTACCCTCAGCTT